TTTCGACAACATTTCTCTTCCTGGCCGTAGGTGCTATGATACCAACACCAGTCAGGGTTTTTAGATTTTGACCGACCGCGTGGGTTTTGCCGTGAGAGGGAATTTTTTTATTTTATTTTTTTTTATTTTTGATTACAGCTTGATTCCACACTGTATTTTTCGTACAAGTATGGAATTTTCAGCATGGATATCGGTAGCCCAAAATTCGCAGGCCGACCATAGACATCAGGTATGCGTCGGCGAGGGCTCGAACCCCGGACCATGTGCATGGTCGGCGAGAGTCCTAACCACTGTGCCACCGACGATAGGAGGAAATCCGGTGACCTTATGACCTGGGTACTTGCATCACGGAAATGCACAACTCTACCACTTAAGTGTCCCTACACTAAGACTGGTTAGCAATGGAACACATTTTCATGGCCGGCCGTTTTGTTATTTCTAGAATTTCATCGACAGAAGCAGCCCAGTAGCCTACAATAAAACCTTGGATTGTCACAAGCACAGCCTGGACCGACTGTAGCAATTTGGACAAGAACAGCTGTCTGAAATGCCTCTCATTGAATTAACGCATACCGGTAAATTCTCGTATTTTCGTTAAAGTGTTCACAGCCGACTGATCACCTAACTCGACATTGTGAAATAGTTCGTCAAGATGCCACTAGGCAGCGAAGTCGTTTCTGTCTAATAGGGTTGAATTAAGTGCCTTATAAGGGTTACTCACTTCTAGGCTTGAAGAATGCACGGATACACATTTGCCTAATTCCCACAGTAGAGCGCGGATAACTGAGAGAAACTGTGAATGCTGGTCATGTTGACTGAAGTTGGACTCAGCTATCTGAAACCATGAGTCCAAATTATCTGGCCAAAATGGCACGAGCTGAGCAGAGTTTCTGGTTGCTTGGTTTTGGACGAGTATAGGCATGTGGTCGCTCAAGGAGAAATATATTTCAAAAATAGTAAACATGAAGCAAGAACAAATACAAAATGCAGCGAACTCACCGGATTCGCGATAGTGCTCACAAGTTTAGACGCTGGAGGTGGTGATGTTAACGAATAGTGTGAAGCATACTAACGCAAGATCTAATTCCCATAGCATCTACGGTATTCTTTCCGCGTGGACCAAAGCAAAGTAAAACACTAGAATTGACCACCAAATCACGAGATGTATTTTGGGACTAAATCGGAGTGCGAGGTGATTACTTAATTTCATAGGGTTCGTGCACGAAAGAAGGAATGTACCACGACTGCGTGCCAAGTGGCGTGGATGATTTACCATAAGTCTTCAAAGGCAACCTGTCGACGGCCGTAATTTTCAGTGACCGCGAATGAGATAAAGAAGCGATTTGCTCGCTTGTGATTGGCCAGTTTGTCATTCGAGTTGGGATAATTTCAAACATCATTTTGCTGCTTAGTTAAGTTCTGAGTTTCCAGGAGCGTTTTATCAAATTGGAGAGATAGTTAACAACACAAATTATTACAGCTCAGGAAAGAAATGATAAAGCAGTGGATTTATTCGCTGAATTCAACGAATTCACACCAAATTAGGATCTAAGGACTTCTCAGGAGTGTCAAGAATGCAAACAATGTTCTGAAGAGGTGATAACTTCACGCAACTTCAATTATCGCTTGACCATTATTTTCAGAGATCCTTAAATAATTATAATATACACAGTGGTCTGGCTAATCATAATAAAAACGGCATGGTTGATGCAGCATATACGTATACTTTTGTATATGTAGGTAAACCTAGATAAACTCTGTTCTTGTCACGAAGATCGGAAAGCAGGTACCAGATGTCTCAGTAAGCAGTGTAATACATGTAAGTTACATGTTTTTATTTGACATAAACTGGATCTCCATTCACTTTCAGAATTAATCTTGAGTTCATTTGGAATAAGCTAGTTGACCACATCAGCACTGCGAGAACATAGTGAAAGTAAGTAAACACCTGCTTCATATGATCAAGTGATACATTTAATTGATATGACTGTATTATTAGTAGTTGTCTATCCAAGTTATTGTTGAATTCGTTGCGATATTATAACCTATTGTTTTTATAGTCACTATGGTCATGAACGTTATTGTTATTATTGCTGTCAAGACCTATTACTTGTCATAAAGCCGTTGTCATTTTTGCTAAAATCTTCGTACAAGCTTTGGAAACTACTGCATAACTTGTCGATAAATAATTTTATCATTTTATGAAGCTTCGATGCACCTTCTAGATATCAACTAACGATAAATTGCGAAGTCCCTTAAGTTTGGTGAAAACTATTTAGCTACTTATATACATTGTTTGTAAAGTGATTACTTGTAAATGCTTATCAAGAAAATTTTTATTCAGATCATACATGTAATACCCAAGTTAACAATTTTTTTCTTAAACCTTTTCAGACTTATGGAGAAACATATGTGCCGTGTACGCAGATGGAACTTACTGACGGTAACAGAGGAATACTCATCTGAATTATCTGTACATTTCAAATCTAATTTTTGTTTGATAAAATTTTTTCAATGAATCTGTGTTCCTTCTGTTGTGATGCGACTGTGTTCCAGTAACATAAGTAACGTGCTAAGTTAGGAGTTGAGGGTAAACTGCTGGGAGTAAATTTGGTGTCTGGAAAACTTTTGTTTACGTGGTTATATGAACAGATAGCAACGTATCGTGTTCTGTGGCTGAGAACCGTAGAGCATTCTGCTTTCAATTACTACGATAACCGTAGTTGCACTGAGTTATAAATCTAACAGTATAGGTATAGTCTCTCCTTATGGTACATTGCGACATGTAAAAAACATACGCACAATATCTCAGGTAGATTTACTCTCACTTTGTGACTGTGAATCACGAATCAGCTTGTATACTCAGCTAAGACGATAGATAACTCGAAACGCTTTATAATCGCAATACCTCCTCTGAGATTTGGACATATTTACTTTATTTGACTACAACATAATCTCTTTACCATTAGGCTTCTCCAAATATCTGCTCTTACTTAGTATTTAAAAGATAGCCTCATGTACTCTGTATCTCACAAATTACGCAATGGTTAATATTCAGTCTTTTCAAGTAGAATAAGCGAACGAATAACGAGGAATGCATTTATTAATGAATTAACATGTAATACAAAATCGACAACACTGCAGGTATCTTTTTCTTTATCGCCCAAATCCATGAAATTCCCGAAAGTAGATATTATCTGATAAAGAACATAAGAATTATACAGATGTTGACATTGTTTTCAGTGTAAAAACAATAATTAACCATTAAATATGTTTAAAGTGACGAAATAATTAGTTGAATTGTGTATAATTACGTCAGTCAACATTTTTCAATAACACGAAATCGATATTGCATCTGCCTGCAAACATCAAGTCTGTGCCATAAAATAAGGAAATACTATGCGTATATAATTTCTAAGTATTTCTGCAGACTTTTCTTCAAGAAATACATGTGGAGCAGCTCTGTAGGTATTAGGAAAAGTACACAACTAAGGAAATGAAATAATTACCAAAACGAGCTACCCCACCTCTCATGTCCATGTGTAATCCATTAAACTTCAAAACAGAGTCACAAAAAGTCGTTATAACATGCGTCTTCAAGTAAATCGACATTTTCTGAACGGAAAAGTACGTATTTTCAACAAACTGTAAACTGCCTGTAAGCGACGGCCGGATAAGGACACCATCATTTGCTGTTTCTGCTAAATACGGCGTATATCATCAAGTTTTAGCATAAATATAAGTAAAAAAAAGTGTGTAGAAAAACGAAAAATGTCCTAACCTTGAGGTTTTTTCAATAAATAAAGCCAACATCCATCAGCTGATTAAATGACCTTCGGCCATCTACAGGCTGCCGTCTTCAAATGAGCAAACCGACTTAAACAGTGCTCGGCAGCATCCAAAGTCCAGTGATGAGTGCTATGGCTATTAATTCTAGGGAATTATCTGCCGCTACACTGTGCACCTCTGCCCCCTGCAGATTAGCCCGCCTTGTCCGGGGAATTATAGATTTTCTTTTTAAGTGTTCAAGGCTTCCACCTTGCCCATTTTTATTACGGGAAATCAGACGTTAAAATTGTCACTCTTGCAGGCATAGAAGTGGGCAAGTAAAGTGAGGAACTTAGTCAAACAAATATGAAATAATAATATTAACAAGTATATTCACGATCCTATACCACTCGGTAAAGAAAGACTTACAAGTCATAAGGAAGATATAGTTCCTTCTTGGGTAGTGGCCTCATCCCTCTAAGTCCCTTAATCAGTGACTACTTCTGAGGGACTACAGGGTACTCGCTATGGAAACCCTAGTCTTCTACGTCCAAGGATATATGCTCCGTGGGTCGCCGTGAACTGCTTTTAGGATTCTGAAATGTCCCTGAAAGGGAGTATGCCTGTGAGCAGCACTGTCAATACTATTCAATAAGCTTTAAAATGTGTAACGTGAGAAATTGAGATTTTCGACTTTCATCATTAGCATTTGCTAACTGTCGCTAAAGTGCTAAGTAATTGTCCTAGGCTCGAAAGTTCCCGTGTGCCAACTTCTAACTTGGACTAGGGGTAGTACAACATAAACAATGTTATTCTGTTGGTCCAAATCACGCACATAGGGTGAATTCCAAAGGAAACAAGTGCAAATACAACCAGATAAATAACATGTGCTGTGGGGCAGAAAACATTAAACTAACATAGTGAAAGTCCCTCTGAGTGAGAGTAGAGTGAAATGGATTATATTCATAGGTATGTGTCAACTGCGAACAAAGTATAAACGACGATTCAAATAACTATGTCTATATGAAGATAATACAGAAAAAGAACACGACAGTAGATTAAGCTTTTGAATGATCACTAATTATAGTCTATCGAATGACACTGTCACTTTTTCACACACTCTTATCTCCTCTCTTTGCCATTTCGTACTCCATGTAATACCTGTGTTTGTTTGGACTTGTTATTGAACAGTCACAGTTGGCGGCTGTTTTATCTATTGTGTTCCCGTAAATATGGCTCTAAGGGTAAGTTTTATGTTTATGATTTATATCAATATACTGACTTGTAGACAGGAGTTCGTAATTTCAGCATGCTACGAGAGATTCTTAAGCAACCTGCATTCATCAAACCATTGAAAGAACATTTGGACCACACCGATCAAGAAGGAAAACCTGGTGCTTTATTGCAACCAATGAAATTAGATAATCCTCACAAACTGGCAGCCAAGATGGTGATATTCATGTGCCTCAGTTTCTTCCAGCCTTTTGTGATTACATATATGCACATTAAAGGGTAACTTTGCTGTCGCAAATATAGTCACATACTCTCCACTTGTTTAATAGATTAGAGTGGTACTTTGCCATTATTACTTTATATACCATTCTGTGCAAATATTTGTTTTGTTTTGGCTTATTTAGACTCAGTATATGTTAGTTTTACGTGTCGGTGAAACTAGAGAATTGTGTGCATTAGATTGAGAAATTGAACGAAGTTCAAATGTAGCAGTTATCCAAAGCGAATATGCCACAGCTTAAATAAGCAGTCACGATTAAGGAGCGGTAAAAGTTTCATAATCGTTCTTAGTTGCCTAAGGTTCGTAGTCTCCTGGGCACCTTTTGTATTACTGATTCCCTTCCTGAATCTACTCCGAAATCCCGATCCTCCCAAAACGTCAGTTATCCTGTCAGACTTCCGCCACAAACATGTGATTTATCAACTCCAATTAGTTACTACTAATGTAACTTTTAGTCATCATGGGACTTGTTAGTAAATCCGGGGCACAAGTTGTGTAAGGTTCTCGTATGGGAAGTTGTAACTTTTCGAAACAATCGTCCAGTTGTTCTTGGACATCTAGTGCGGAGTCAGTCATCCTCGTTTTTCGTGTGCATAAGATCTCCGGCTGGAAACGTGCTTGTATGAAAATTCGCTGTAGTACGCTTAGTGTCTATGACTACTTGTTAAACGTTTTGGACAACACGCAGAAAGTTTATGCAACGTGACCTAGGTCTCATATCTCAGTAACCCGATGAGTACTGTGCCGGAAAAGCCGCTAGGGCAGCGATTAGGTTACAAGCCGTTATTAACATTGCTTCAATCAATGGGGCCCAAAAGTCAAGTGTAACCATGTTAGATAGGTGTTTCCCCCTAGCGACCAGTTGCAGTTTCGTTTGCTACTGGGAAAGTGGTGGGAAGTAAAATGGTACATAGTGAGGCGATCCATAGTCTGTGAAGAGGTATTCATTCTTACACTTCAAAAGTTGCTTGACATTTTTCGCAAAACACACCTTATATTCGGATTGTGGATAATCTGATAAGATCTCGAATACATCAACGGAGAGAATCGTCGACGCACCTTTGATTTAGGCCGTGAATTTATTATAACGAGGTAGGAAGGGAAATAAGGTGGTTATGTTACGAGAAATATTGAGTCGAGAACTGTTCAGAATTAACATAATAACAGCAATAATTCTAATAGGACGGGGTAAACAGAGTTATCAGACAAGACGGAAATAGGCAATTTCCCCTCCTATATTCTAAGGCCAAGATAGAAAGATGTACTCTACGCACTTCCGCTGTACGTAGAAGGTTGACTTAATTTCATGATAAGTTGATGTGGAACTAAATGGGTCCGCAGTTTTTCATTAGTCCTAAAGTCATCATCATAGTTGGCTGAGGGACGGGAGCCGACCAAATAGGATTTCTTGCGTGTGCATACAGTTGGCCAGACAAAGAGGCTTATGTAGCGTACACACAGAGAAGAGGTTTCCGTTATTGAAAATCAACGAGTTTTGCGGTAACGAACATTGTGGTGATCACTTGGATTCCAGATTGATGAAGGTGGTTTTCTTTAGAACTGGGCTAGTAACCAGTTTAAAATACCTACCATTCATTTTTTTAATAGGACGTTCGGGATAACCGTCTTAATCAAGAGTGACGCTTAGGAAGGACACTGGTTAACGCAGTGTGGACGCCCATATAAGGGGGGGCAGATAAGGAACAAGTTACCCTAATATGAAGATTGGTTAATTGTTCATCCAATATACGCTTTTGATGTTTAAATATCTTAAGAGATCCATCGAAATATTTTGTGAGGAACTCATTAAGAAATGCTAAACTCGTCCTTTCCAAAGATGAATTCCAATAATTGTTGACGGTTTTGTGGGAAAAACAATATCTATGCTGTATATGGTGGACGTGCCGTCGAGTACCACAGTTTGACTAACTTTGTGTTTCCAAGCTTCGATATGAAACAATCAAACTGTAATGGGCCCAGAGGTGATCCCAACTTTTTCGTCAACATAACTCGTTTAAGTTGAATCAGATGTTGGATGTGCACCTCAGCCAGCCCTCCATCTCAGCTATATACATCGGTATAGTCACATATATAGCAAATAGTTTCTTTGAGGATCGAAGTAGTAAAACAACGATGTCACATTTAGCGAAAATATGACTTCACTTGACGCATGGAAATATCCAATAACCTCAGCAAATTGGAACGTATCATTGATGGAAATGAGTTGTTTGTCTTCTTAATAGTTCCGGTATTTCGACTAATTATTGATCAATATCATGATAAAGAGAACCCAACACCTCCAGACTTGGGCGGACAAGTAATCCTGTTCTATGCATCAGTAGAAATGAATATCAATATTATTCTGGAAAGGTTTGTGGCGTAACCATATCGGCACAGTTTCTAAAACTTCAAAGCATAGTGCACCTAACTTTCGTGTAATCTATTTTCCATCATGTGGTATTTAGCTATGGTCACCATCACAGGTATTTCATCATGAAAAAGCACATATCATTGTAGTCATGCTGTCTAAGGGATGTAGAACAATTGCGGCCCAATTTGACAGAAATTGCAGAAAAATGAGGAATAGTTAACTGTAGGTAACAGGGGGTGTTGCATCATGAACATTGTACTCGGGCATCAAAGTTGTTGCGGAGGTGGGGCTCGGTCTTTGACATAGAAAATGAGTTTCACGCAACTGAGTTCCAACTAATTTATTGTAATTATACCCTTGTTATTATATTTGCATTAGCTATGTATCTTTTGTTATTTGTGCCTCCTCACCACTTGTTCTTAACCTAGTGATTCACAACATTCTTTAGAGATGTTCACAGAGGGTGTAGGTTTGCTCTATCTGATAGCTAGCGTCTGGTCTTTCAATGGCTACTTAGCAGCTGTACAGTTACTCGCACTTTCTGTGCATATGTTTTATTAAACTGAAGTGCTGTAGAACGGACAAATTAATCTGAATTCACCTTCGTGTGAATTTTCGAGAAAAGTTGCAGTTATGTGTCTGGAAATGTGTCAGTGTAATGCGACAGATAGAATCGATACAGTGTCCTACGTCTCGTCTGGTAATAAGGTGTGGGTCTACAACACTTCTATGCGGGCACTTCTTCTGTGCATTTGTGCAGCATGGTTTGGTGGGATTGAGTTCGTTTAGTAATTTCACCATTGTCTTTGGCTGATTGCATGTATTCAGTGCTCTGAGGCCTAATGGTGCATGGTTATTTTGGATGGTAACAGATCAATGTGAGAGACACTAGACTGACTGTAGAATGATAGTAATATGTTAACAGAACATCTACCTTTTCAGGATATAAACAAACAATATCTGGAAATTATGTCACGTAAGGGTAGTTTGGTGCACTGACAGTTGAGGTTCATTAGTGCTAAATGAATAGTTATCTCTACTGTTTATTTACGATGTTTCGATTGAAATGTGTCATTTGCAGCCAGGAATTGGTTCTAAAGGTCAAAAGGAATTCTATTGTCTAATAAGGGACCAGGATGGTTATGTTTCTAATACCAATGGTCTAATTTTCTCTGAAGCACTTGGAATAGACATTTAAAAATGATTACGGAAACAATATAATTACTGTCAAGTCACGTCAACATTTTGACTTTCAGTTCAACAAGTTTCCTGAAACCCGACTACAAGCGTATACACTGGACAGTGAAAAGAACTGTAGAATATGTATGACAAAAGAATTTATAACTCGAGAATCGTATATACACAAAAATTAGGGAATGAAAAAAATTACATTAACTAGTTGCTGATTTTATTAATTCAGAATTCTTAGATGATTCAGACTGCCGAAGCCACTGCTGCTTCAGGAGGTTGTCTCTGGAAGCACTTCTTTTTCCTCTTGCAACAGCTTCAGAAAACAGCGCACAAAACAGACGTACGGATGTTGGGCTGTCATCGTTTCCAGGTACAGGATAAGTAATTAATCTGGGATCAGAATTGGTATCCACAACACCAACAGTTGGGATAAGCATTTTTGCTGCGTCTCGTACGGCAGCATGTGGCCTAGATATCGAGTTGCAAGTACTGAGAAAAATGACTAGGTCCGGTAGCCTCACTGAGTCGTGGAACACATTTGATGAGTTTGTGAACACCCCTCCCTCCCACTTACGACAGTACGAGTACTCACCAACAGTTTCGGCAGTTCTTTCAACAAGAGGTAACATCTAGAAAAAGCGTAGACACCAGAAATTTTAGTTAACTTTATGCTCGAAGGGCGGATATAAACAATATTGCATAACAAACAATGAGTGAATTTAGGTTAACAAGACAGGGTGCAGTGAATCGGTTTAGATGATGCGAATAAAAGCTTTGTATCAACGATTTTCTTGAAGACCAATTACATTTTGCACTTAATATCGTGTGTAATATTCGGGTTTTATTTGGTTGGCAACCATTGGAATCTAGGATGCGCATTTCAATCTATTTACACTACTTTCAATTCTACAAATCTTGTGCTATTAAAGAATCTTCATCCAAGTAAATGGGTACTCAAATAAGAAGACAAGAATGAAAATTACTAACTTCCCTGAAAATGAGGGAAATATTAAAAGCGAATACAATTCAGTTACTAGTGAACAACTTTGAACCATACGACATCGCCGATCGCATATTTTTTACCTCATTAAGAAGCTAATCAAGCCCCCTGTATTTCTCCATGCACCTCAAAGGATTATATCAAATCACTTGGCTCACATTTAGCCTAATCCCTCTTTGTTTACTATGAGATGCTTGTGTTAATCACTGGACATATGACACGTTTCCTTGTTATCTGTTTTAATCAGTGAAATCTTATGGTTACTGCTAATGGTTGTGATGGTAAGGTACTAAAAAAGTGAAATTACGTACAATTATTTTCCTTGATAAACTTGGACAAAGAAAGAACAAATGAAACAGGGCAAAGTGACATCATTATATTTCATTGGTTCTTCTCAACTAAATGAAACCATACACAATTTTTATATAGATGCATAGATATGCAAATACTATAATTATGGAACGTAAAGATCGTATGCAATTAAGAAAGACCATTTTATCCTGCTCAATTTGTTCTTCTTTCTTTGTTTAAAGATAAAATTACTATAGCAGAAATAATAAGTACAGTCAAAATATCAAAGCAGAGTAGACAAATAAACTTTTACACATTTAAAGTTTATTTGATATGTTGAACTAACTTCGAAAGAGTGGATCAGCTAAACATGTATCATAAATTATTATTCGTTCACACCCACGCCTTAAATAAAACGCGATACTAATACTCCATATTCACAACACGATTCAGTAAGGCTAGCGGTTTGCATGCTATCTCCCGACTTAAGTGGTATAATATGGTGAGCCTAGTTATGGTATTAAGTAAGGAGAGTAAGTCAATGGATGAGAAAGTAAAGCTACATCGATTAAGAAAACTAAGGCATGAATTGAGCATTCAAAGCCACACCCTCCTTTAGTAGTAATGTTAGTTGACATAAGATTATGTTTGAGGAGAATTTGTAGTGGTTAGATCAAAATATGGCATCAATCTATAATTTCTTTGACTGCTGATGTGAGCCACACGGAGATATAAACTGCTTGTTCTGTAGTCCTCAAGAGTCTAAAAACTAATAACTCAAAACTGTCGGTGATACGGTTCAAGATTGTTCTCAAAGTACGAATGCATTTACCCTTTGTAATTTTCCAGAACCATTTAATTCTCACTACTCTCCAAATAGTCATCCTTCCTCACGCACACCTCTGTGCATTATAGCTTTTTTGTAATATTTTCTCTACCTTTGTGTCTTACATCGTACGAACATTCCATGTCCCCATGCTTATTTTTCCTTTCGCCAACAGAAGACACATCAGTTGACTGGCTTTTACAAGCCCGCCTAATTTCGTCTCTTTGATTCCAGCGAAGGTTAAATTTATTTTCTACATTTTTCTTGTGCACCGAAGTTTCTCATGTACAAGGAGCAAGATCTAAATCTTTAACACTACTTTCAAGTCATTGCTTCTCAATTCTTCCAGAGAATTTGAGCACGCTTCACCAAAAGTTTGTTGTGGACCTTCTTCGATAGCTGCATTCGGTCAGTACCGAGCACCAGACGCGCATCAAGGATTTGCAATGACAATCTCTGACAGTCAGCGAATCAGCTAATAACCTATTGCCTAACATATCCGCAGACGGAGGTAAAGGTGAACTAGACATACTCTGCTACATCACTCTCCAATCCCTCGAGTGGAACCCGGATGGAAGGCGACAGGTTGGGCGTCCAAGGGTCCTGTGGTTCACGTGATGAATAAACCTTGTTGAGCCATCTGGCAGTGATGACGGATAACTAATTGCAATAGAGATATGCCTCTGAAGCCTAATGTTTCACTTGGAACGCAAGAAATGGATGGTAATAGCAATGGTAATTTCACTAATAACATGGCTTTTGCGGTTAGAACCCATTGAAATACATTTTAGCGCCCTTATTATTTTGCGACAGCTACCAACATTCAGCGGTCTATGGATCCGTTTCCTTGGTTAATACTCTTAAAACATTGCCTAAATTCTTTACTGATTCATTTTGAATTCTTGTTTATGCCTCAAAGTCACACCCTCCGATAATCAAATCTGCAAATTCACCTCTTCATATTTGACTAAATAGTCCGTAACACTACTCACCCTCCGGCTTGCCTAAGCTAATCAGTGTGTGTATAAGCAAAGGCTACAAAAACATGCTGGCATTTGCCAAGATCTTTCTTAGTTTTAGTAGTAGTACTTGCTTAGACAGTACACTAACTGCTAACTGAGGTCCAGTAAAGCTGTGAAGAACGATCAAGTGAAGTAGTAGTTAATAGGCAATCGGTGAAAAGCTATAGGGTAAGCTGAAGTGTATAATTTTTGAGGTGGACACTTTCCTGTTCTTTCCAAAAGTATTAAGTTAGCGTAGGTGGATAACCGATTATCAAGAAAAAAAAATGCTCTAATGCCGTCACATCAACTATTAAAGCCAAGCGTTCAAATAAGTGAACGACATCGCTGTGCATTAAGTATTTTTTACATTTTACATTTACACACCTCAAGAGCTAAATTAGCTTAGTAGTGTCCTCAAAGTCAGCATTCATAAGAACATGCAACCAGGAATGAATATTTTACGCACATGATATTGATTAACAATTTCTTGAAAAAACTAGATAACACTAACCGTTACTTACTTGTTTATTGGAATACATAAAAAGGATTATACCTTGACGGTAAGCAACATGTGCTGCGAAGTTGAGTGCGTCAAACAACAAAGAATGCGTTTGATCTAGATCAATTATATCTACTCCTTGCCTGCAGCCGTATATGTACGGTATCATGTAGTCATTACGAAGCACTGATCGATGACCAAAATGAACACGTGCATGAAATAATTCAGGGATGCTGACCAGATTTTTAAGCCCAAAGTAGTCGGGACAACTGAGAGGATCTCCGATGGAAGAAGGCAATGATTCAGGATTTCCTCTAGGCTTAACAGGTCTACTGCTAGTTATCTTTCTCGTGAAAAATGACAGTGTTTCTAAAACAAAGTTAGCAAAATTGCATCAAAGCAAAGAATCTAAATGCATAACAGTCCAGCAAATGCAAAAGACGACAACACTAGATATGGTCAACTTTAAAATGAAAGACTTACTGGCTTTTGTCAGAAGAACGAGTCCTAAAGACTGGTTAAAACGCCATTTACTCAAAGGTTGTTATTGTGGAGGATGCGCACAGAAACATGGAAAAAAGGTTACTTAAAATGAGGTGAACAGTTGCTCAGAAGGTCAGTAGCAAATGTGGAATTGAATATTCTTAACGTAAGAGCAGAATCGTTTGAACTGTTACCTGGAACAGGTCTTTTACGTCCCGGGATAGGAGTCACACAGTATTGATGGGCTGATAGTGTTACCCAGTTATTTAGGCAGTAATATGTCGAATACTGTTCGAATCCTGCACTCTTCAAGCACAATAACTCAAGACAGAAATAAAACCCAAAGTAAATTCTTCTGAACAGCTCAAGCATAGGTGGTCTTTTATTTGTGTTTAGCGTTATGAAGTTTAAGAGGCACTTTAGGTGTTTTACCTTTGAACTGGTTATATCAGCAATATGACAAGTCGTTGTATTTGTATATTTCTTTTTTTCAGTACAATGCTTGTTTAGAAAGTGTATGGTTATAGCTTAACTTTAGACTCAAATCAATGACAAAGAAGCATTTCAAAACCATAACAAAACCTATTTCTCACTCGGTTAGCATTCACATATAGATTTTGACGGAAGTTAACTAGTACTAAGATAGATAAGATAAGCTTTATTCCAAATCAGTACTTGTGATACAGAATGGAATTCTCAGCATTTTACTACAATATTGCATCCAGTTAGTACATTAACAATAAATATAGTTCTACATAGATTAAGGTTATCTCAGTCAGTTTTGACAACAACATATTAGCATGTCGGTAGCAAAGCCAAAATTAAAGTGTTTGAAGGTGTTAGAAAAGTAGATACTACTAGCATATTTACTGGCGTAAGCGATAGCAAAATGGTCGAGGTATACAGAGTGTGAAAGAACGAACAAGAATGTTTTAAGTAGAGTTTGCAAGGAAAGGAGAAACAAAACAACATATAACAAAAAAAGGTAGAGAGAAAACGTTGTACCTGTAAATGATGTGACTTGGAAAGACGAGATCCATTTGTTCTACTGACTATTTAATAAGTTAAAGGTTTCACGCCTAATGCTTTCTTTATCGCACAGAACACGAGCTAGGTAGGGTATGGATGAGTTTTTGTACTTACTAGTGCGGGCATATAGTTTCCTATATAGGCTTCTGGTTTTCCCTGAAGAGATACATGGGGAGAGTTGTGAATGTAGAGGGTGTTGTGAGTCAGATAAAATGGATTTCGCCCATTTTTCACATGAGTCCATATGCCTGTCCACCAGAATATTAACAAGCTGGCTAAGTGGCAAACTGCTTACCCTGCTGACAACCTTTAACATCCTACGTAATAAGGTATAGTCTTTCTTCAATAGCCCAGGAAAGACTAAGGGGGAACAATAGAGAATAATAGGCAGAATACGGAAGTTAACAAATTGTAGGAGTAAGGGTTGGGTTACACCAGAATGTCTTAACTTCTTGATGTAGAAGGTAAGACGGAATATTTTCTTGGAAATCGTCAAGATATGAGACGACCAGGAAAGATCAGAAGATAGAGTGACGCCTAGGTATTTAACTTCCGACTTGGTTTCAATTTCAGTGCCATCTATGTTGCACATCTCGTGAGTCCTAACCAGTTTGTTTAGGTCAGATTCGTGCCAAAAGGTGAAATTAACTGTTTGGCATTTGGAGGGGTTTAAGGTGAGACCGTTTTCCTTGGACCATTGGCTGATTTCTGATAAGAAGCCATTTAGTTTAGAGCAGTCACTTTGACATTTGACAGGTAAAGATACAGTTAGGTCATCAGCATATTTGACAAAGTTAATGTCATTTGAAGATGGTAGGTCATGTAGGAAGAATGAAAAGAGAAGTGGGGAGAGTACAGCCCCTTGGGGGACACCAGCTTCAGTGAGCACAGCAGAGGAGGACTCGCCTTTGTATACGGTGTACTGCGTTCTGTTTGAAAAGTAGGAATGCAACCAGTTAGTGACCCAGGACTCGGTTTGTGTCATGGAGAGCTTATTTAGCAAGAGACATCTAGGTACAGAGTCGAAAGCAGAAGTGAAGTCAAGAAACGTGCAGCGGACATATTTGGCACCTTTGTCTAATGATGAGACAATACTGTTGTGTAAGACGGCTGCAGCGTCTAAAGTACTCCTACCCTGTCTGTGGGCAAATTGTTTGGGGTCTTCGAAGCTTTTAAGGGAGGGTTCAAGTTTAGGAAGTACTAGTTTTGCCATGAGCTTTAGAAACGGGGAAGTGACGGCAATGGGTCTGAACTTTACGTCCTTGCTATTGCCAGGTTTAGGGACAGGGACTATTTTAATGTCTTTCCATGGAACAGGTACAACGTTTTCGGAGAAAGAAGCATTTAGGATATCAGTTAGAGGAGGGCATAAAGCATCTGCACATTGTTTTAGAACATATGCAGGTATGCCATCAGGGCCAAGACTATGTGAGGGCTTAAGAGTTTTAAGACATTTCAAAACATCGAGAGTACTAAAGTCCTGGAAGTTATCAGCTACAAGATTAGTAACGTTAGAAGTGGTTATAGTAGAAGGAGAGCGTATAAAAGACGGATTAAGAGCATTAACATCACAAGAGGGAAAAATATTACATCGCTTACTATTGCCAGTAATTTCATTGAAAAATTTCCACATGCTGATAGGAGATTTGCATGATAAAGGTGTTTGGTTATAAATAGCATTAAGATTTTTGATTTCAGATTTGATTTGAGCATTAATCTTTTTAAGTCCTAACTCGTCTTCGCATTTATATAACATTTCTTTTTACCTGCGAAGTTGTTTGAGTTGGGGAGACGAGAAGCGGTCGAGGCATAGTAACCGCATAAAACTACCTATAGGTAATCGAATATCTAACACACTGCAGTGTGCTTAACTGAAAATTTCATTCTATGTATCAGACGAATTAACCCTGTAAGGACTTACAATAATGAAGAGGCATTAACAATTGACTTGGTGGAAAGTTCTGGAAGAATGAATATATGCTGAGTCAACACTACTCCGAATACAGTTTTCATCTAGAAGCCGTTACATTACCGGACATCCTGAGTTTGCTGCATCATTTTCTTTAACACTACCAAATTACATAAGACTTTACTAATTACCAACAACTGCTGGTGATCAGTGTAGGCTTGAAGTACTATTTATTAATAAGTATTATTTAAAGCGTCATCACTGATGATATGAAAACAATTACTAACCAGAAGTGATATTACAATAAAAACGTAATTTTTTACAAACACAAATGTGCAAAGTTTCATACAAGTGAAATATGCAACGTACTGCGACAACACTTCCCTGCAAACAGCATCTCAAGGTCAAAACCAGATAGCGCTCTGGTTCTTTAAGGTGATCTAAATGATTAAGAAAAACTGTCGGACTCATCTTTCATTTCATCCCCTGTATCATCAAGTCATATATAGTATTCTAACATGTTGTAAACGGTAGCGAACACTCTGCTGTTTGGATCATACATTACGAATTAGGTATGGTGTTGGTCAAGCCTAGTATCCTAAATGTGACATGAATTAACCATAACTGTTAACATTTCAAGTGGATTTACTGGTCGTAATTGTTGACGTTTTGCGTCAAAAACCAAGAAAAGTCAATTGCGATTGACCAATACGGTCCACAGTGCATAATTTCTTCACAGGTATCATATGCCTTAGTAGTCTGCATATTAACAACTGCATGTTTGTCCACTTTCCCTCAGCTTTTAGTGCCTTAATCACCGGAATTCTGACGGTTGTTTGTTTCAAGTTACGAAACACGCAGTGTTATTGATAGGTGTTTAATATAAACCGCTGCGTGAGTGGTAGATCAGTGAGGTTTTTGCATCGGTGGCACAGTGGTTAGGACTCTCGCTGACCACGCATATGGTCCAGGGTTCGAGCCCTCGCCGACGCACACCTGGTATCTATGGTTGGCCTGCAAAATTTGGGCTACCGATATCCATGCTGAAAATTCCATACTTGTACCAAAAATACAGTGTGGAATCATGCTGTAATCGAAAATAAAAAATAAAATAAAAATAAAACTATATGCATTCTGCTGAAGTAGTATGAGTAACTCCCGAGGATCAACATTCAGCAACCTAAAGACTTTTAACGAACATATTATAAAACAAGTCAAGTCTATTGCGTACGAATTCTTAGTGTGGATTCCTCTACCTGAGATTGGTGCACAGTTAGGATTTGATTAATCAGCGAGCTATTGATTTCTCCGAAAGAAACATGCACTAATTTATTTGGAATTGTGTGAATATTACAGGTCATCTCATGACCACTTACTGGCTTATTTTGACACATGAAGTATACTTTGCGTGCGAAACTGTTCCTTTGGCGTTTTGAACTCAATCTCATGATTTTCTTTGACAGGCGATCTGAAGTTTCTCTTTAATATAATGCAGAACTCTGTGAATTGGCGTTGTGTCATTTACATGCACTATATATGTGACAGAAACCCCCATTTATAGATTGTTTGGAGGATAGTATTTATCCAGTCAGGAAAAAATAAGTTGTTATTAGAAGAATCTTACTTAGGTTTGTTAAAGATGGAACAAACGAAGGCGATTGTTGTGTGGCCGACTACTGGACATATTACTTGTCAGCGTAACTAACTGACTCTTTCACTTGGCGTATTCTAGATTTGCATAGAAATTGTGCCTAACACTAAGCCAACTAACAAAGAAAGAACAATGTAAATTGACTTGTTGTGGAATATATTTATATGAGGGGAACGAGAAATTAGGAAAACACACAAGTGTAGAAATTTTGGTCGGCAGTCCCATGTATTAATTTGGTACCCTACAATGAAAGCTAATTTACTGCAAGGACTTGTAGATTTGAGTTCTGTTTGTTTTTTCTTTTTTATTCTTTCTGTTTCGAGTGGTTCAAGCTAGAGCTGTCGAAGTTTAGTAGCAGTGGTGTTTTCCTACAGGGTAGGGTTGCTAGCCTAACGGCCAACTTCGTCTTTTATGCCCGGCTTACTACCGGCTGGGAAAGCTAAAGGAGTGTGTCGCTCAAGGGCCGAACTCTGAACCACTTTCGTGGTTGACCAGTGTCCTATTAATGAAGTGCAGAAGCAAGCGTTCTGTTTTTATCTTGCATTTACCTGAATTAAGTTCCAGTGCATTATTTTCCACTGTTATTTGAGCCGAGGTTATAGCGCCCAGTGAAACTTCAAAATTTGTGTAAATCAACTGGAATAAACACCATTATTTCTGTCAATATCAGTCACGAATTGTTTTGGATGTATTCCACCCGGTCATTTAAATGTCACTAGATGAATCGCTCATATTATGCTGTTTCTCCTAGCCAGCTATGCTGCCATATTATAGCAGCAGAAGGTAAGTCACGGAAGCCAAGGTATATTTCAGTTGATGGAAATGCTTTTTATGTACACAGTTTGTATTCTTTAACCAGTCACTGAGCGTGTGATTTTTGTCTACATCAAAAGACATGAAACAGAATGCTCAAGTATTCTGTTGCTAATGCAGTATTGAACTGTGGGAATAGTATTCCGATGTTAGCTCCAACAATTACAATGTTTCTTACCTTAGGAATAACATTCCGTTGGAGCACATTGTCTGTATCACTCCACCTTAATTGTAATAAGTGGCCGCCGAATTCACGGTAAACATGCGTCAGTTCATGAGGCAGACTTTTCATACGAATAAAACTTTCATAAACTCCGTCATCTCTACACAGATTACGCTTAACCGAACATCATCTACTGTCTACAGAATCGGGACTCACCAAATGTTCACAGTTTGCCGTACGCACTCAGGTACTTAATCCCTATGCGTGTCATCCCAACTTTGATTGTCTCACAGGGTATTTCACGATAGCACATCTTTCTGTGCTGATACTGGTGTAGGGCACTTTTCCAGCACTGCTAGTAAGTGGCCACCATCTTAGTTAGCACCCATCAAACAATCTGCTCTAGACGCCATAAACCTTGGAGAGAATATTTTTAAAGATATATGCGATTTCACCCTCACCCCTAACTCTCTCATTCTGTCTTATCAATGCTCGCTCCTTACTCAACAAAATGTTCGACTTCACGACATTATCCCTAATTTGCAACCTGTCTCTCATAATGATTACTGAGACATGGTGCACTCCTCAGATTTGCGATAAAGATATTTCTATTGATAACTATTATGTATTCAGAGGCGACAGAAACTATGGTAGAGGAGAAGGATGTGCTATGTATATCAGGTCTGATAATAAGGCCACACAGTGCTTCTACCCAGAGCTCATCACAGATAACGATTTTTGTGCGGGCTACTTTAAGACTGTCTCACTCCAGTTCCTATCTTATAGGTTGCATCTATCACCCCCCGTGCTCAACTGTTGAAGGTAATATGAAGCTTGCTAGCACGTTCGTTTACGCCACTTCACTACCTCACACGGCTAAAATTATATGTGGAGACTTTAATATGCCTGATGTAGTCTGGCGACCACTTTCCTCACCAAAACGGCACAATGAATTTATCAACATAAAAGAAACAAAAGAATGGCAACAACACGTACAGTATCCTACCAGGCTATCTAAGATTTTAGATCTAGTTTTCACTAATGGTATCATACCCACTACCCTTCGAGTAGGTAAAGAGTTTCCTGGCAGCGACCACAGAGTAGTATTTGGTACATTTAATATTTGCACTAGCATGAGTTCGACAATAAACGCCAACAAAGTATTACTCAGGGGTTACAGACATGCTCAGTGGGATGAACTGAAACCATACATACGCACCCTAGACTGGGATCCATACTTTACGTGCAGCTCGGCTACAGAGACAAACAAATTATTCTATGAGAACCTAGGACTTGCACACGAACTCATCGCTCCAGTAAGACTTATGAAAACGAGGCTTAACAGCCCGACTTCATCCCCATAAAGATACGAAACCGACTGTGTCAATGGAGTTGAAGATTGAACGATCAATTCTTGGTTGTTTGCTTAAAATCAACTTCCCCAATTTTCGCGGAGGCATCAATACGACAGTCATCGTCTCATCGGTCGCTGTTCAGAAAGAAGAGTGAAACATCGTCAGAAGTAATACAATGATTTATTATTGTAATATTTGTTTTCAGACCTTAGTTCGCTTATTCATTTTATATGTTGGTGTAACAATAAACAAATATCAAGCGGCAGATCGGTGTTTTGGTTTTTGCGTCCGTTATAACTAAGCGTTTCTGAAATCTTCGAAGAACAGCGTGGGCCCGAGCGTAGCGAGAGCTGGGCATTAACGGTTTATGAGACGTGATTGACAGTTTCTGACGATGGAAACAGATCTGGCGGATTCAAACAGTTGGTGAAAGTTTGGATAGTCGCCGTTCATTTCTCCTGGTGCCGGTCAAGTCCTCTTTGAACAAGCAATATCTGGAACTTTTTTGGAATTGGGTCAAGTTCAACAATGCCTGGGTCAAAGAAGGGACAGAGTGTCTTGGATGCAAACAGGAAAGTAAGTCATGGTGACTTGTCTGTTAATTGTAACGATGTGTCTGATGTTAAGCATGACATGGTTGATGTTACTGTTTCGCCGTTCAGGGATAATAGGAACATCAAACTCCCTAAATTTGAACCACGGTGTTTTGATGGAAACCCGGCTGATTATTTACAATTTGTAAAGGAGTTTGAGATCATGTTGAGTGGTTTTTTATTAAATGATGAATTGAAGTTAATGTATTTGATGAGATATTGCACTGGAGATGCTTCAAGAGCTATACAGTGCTGTAAGTTTATGAAGCCAAAAGAGGGCTACTATGAGGCTATGAGCATATTACGTCAAAGGTTTG